AACATGGGGGTGCAGGTATCTTTTGAATCAATGTGTTGTGTCTTTATCAGGAGTGATATTGCTAGGTCATATGGAAGCTCCATTTTTAGCAGTTTGAGGAACCTCCAAACAGTTTTCCATAGTGGTTGCACTAGTTTGCAGTGCAGGAGAGTTCCCTTTTTTACACATCCTCACCAACATTTGTTGTTGCTAGTTGTTTTAAGATGTGCCATTCTTCCCACTCCTAGGTATCTACCCAAAAGACACAAAAACACTGATTCAAAAAGATACCTGCACCTCCATGTTTATTGCTCTTTATTCACAATTGGAAAGACATGGAAACATGGAAACAGCCCAAATGCCCAAAAATGGATGACTGGGTTAAAAAGATGTAGTACATAAACACAATGGAATACTACTCAGCAACCAAAAAAAAAAAACACATGCCTTTTGGAGCTATAAAAGATCATGCTTAGTGAAATAAGTCAGAAAGAAAAGGAAAAATACCGGATGGTTTCTCTCATAGCAGGAATATAATGGAACAGGCAAGAAAATAATAATGATGAACAGCTATATACCAGAGACATTTTATGGGGGTGGAGTGGGAATGGGATCAAAAACAGTGAAGGGAGGGAAATGCACTGGACTATGGTGATGGCACATGGGTGATTTGGTGATGGGAAACCCAAGGGGATTGCAACGGAGATGGAAAAATGCACAAAAATAGGTAAAAATAAACTATTATAAGAAAAAAATAATAAAGAAGAAAAAAAGATTAAAAAAAAATGTGCCATTCTCACTGGGGTGAGGTGATATCTCACTGTGGTTTTAATTTGCATCTCAAGCTAAAGGTGCCATATGTAGGCCAGATTTCTTGGTCCTCAAGTTTGTAGTGGTGCCAGGCAGTATTGTGAAGGAAAATTATATCTATTTTCTTGAAAGTCTGAGAGTCAAATTTGCTCCGCTTTTTAAGAATGCAGTCCAAGGGCAAGTCACTGAGGGCTAAGATATATTGTCCCATGATTCCTGTAGCAACAGAGGGAAAGCACTTGCTGTGGCTAGTAAATGGCACTTTGTCCTGGGACTTCCCTTCCAGGATCTAGGAGTCAAAGGTGCAGATGCCCTGCAGTCTGGGGGCTTCCCTCCCAGTAATTCTAGGGGCCCTGAATTGCAATCACAATCTTCTCCATTGAGTATAGAGTGTCAGGTCCAGGATGACTCACCAGTTATCAAGCAGTTTCAGTAGTTGGGGCCCACTGTCTGGAGTAAGCAGATCAATTACTGACCACAGAGGGGAAAAAAGCAAGGAGGAAGAAAGTGAAACTGATCACTGACCCAGCTATGGCAGACTACCCTGCTTGTAGGAGTTGTTCAGGACCACTTGGGGGTGCCCAAGCCAGACTGCTGAAATTGTCCATTAGGCACACAGCCTACCTAAGGTTTTGAAGGGGAAAAGGGCTATTCTCCATCCTGCTGGGCTCTTAGAACCTTTAGATAAAATTGGGTGTACCTAGTGTTTGATGGTTCTGAGGTTTCCTTGAAGTCACCCAGAGAAAGTGAGAGGAGTAAGGAGTCCCCATACCAGGTTTCTCCCCATATGGTACACCAAAATGTAATGGGGAGAAGTATTGAGGTGAGGCTGGAGACAAGTCTGAAAGAATTCATCAGAGTCAGAGTGGAGAACAGGAAAGGTAGAATACGTACGCTGAGAGAGGCAATGGGCAAGATGGAAGAGGTCATCTGCCCCTAAGAAGGATTTGCTCTCTTTATATCCAATTTTCATGGGCTTTTCCTGAATTGGGGAGTCAGTTACTGCTGATTGTTTTCGCAGAACATCAGGTCTCAGTCACCTTTCCCCACAGGTGATGTCAGGGTTCTGTTTGCTTTGATGCCTAATTCCCTGGAATTCTGAAAGTCCTAAGTCATTCATTTTAGACCTGTGGTCTGGTTCCCATGGCTATTTTGAGACTCCCTATCTACTTTGTGTCCCAGCAGTGTTCTATTCAGCAAAATGAAGAGGCCACATTTTAACTTGTTAAATATAGCCCAACACAGAGGGCATAGAAATGCTGTGCCTTTTCCCCTGTCTTGCTCTGTTTCTCTGCCGTCTGTTTGAATTATATCCTTCATGATAAATTGCAGCTGATTTTTTTTTAAAGATTTATTTATTTATTCATACAGAACTGGGGTACAGGCCAGAGACGTGGAGGGTGAGAGGATTCACCAGAGTCAGAGCAGGGAGAAGAACAGGCGGATCGACGAAGTACACTGCTGAGGGAGCAGCGGGCGGGTCAGGAGAGGTCTGCCACGCCATGTGGACTCCTCCGGGGCAAGCGGGAATCGAACTCATGGGGAAGTGGCTTAAGCTTCTCAGTGCAGTGCTTTAACCAGCTGCGCCACCAGGGAGGGCCTGCAGCTGATTTTTATATGTTGATTTTATATCCTGCAAGTTGACTGAATTCATTTAACAGCCTTTTGATGGAGTCTAGGCTTGTCTATATGTAAGATCCTATCATCCGTAAACAGCTTTACTTCCTTCCAATTTGGGTGTTTATTCTGTTATAGGGAGAGAGGAGCATCACAGAACCCCCAGACCTGACTGCTCTAAATAGGTTCTGCCATCTGCTGTATCAAGACAAAACATAGAAGACCTTTCATGGAAAGGAACTTCAATACAATCATGTATTGAAGAATATAGTTTCTAAATCAAACAGCCAAAGTTACCTCCCTTGTGGGTAAAAGTTTACCCAAAGGGATTGGCCCAAGCAAGGCCTGAAAGCCCTCCACAAGTCTAAAGCACCTTCTCATGGGGACCCATAGAAAAGGGTCAGAAATGACCAGACAAGTCTGGGAGGAAAAGAACAAAATCAAAATCAAGATAAACACTGCCATAGTGAACCTCCTCTCTGGTCTCTCACCACAGCTGTTTCACACAGTCTAGGCAGGACCAAGAAACAAGAGCTGCTTCTTCACTTGTGTCTCTACTCCTGTGACTTCCTCAGGTTTCTTTCTGGCTCTCCATCCTGCTTCCTTCCTCCTTGTTCTGCTCTCCAGATTCTTCTCTGCTCAGCTCCACCCTCCTTTGTGTGGGGCAGGGAACCTGGGACCTCCCCCTTTCTTGGAGACCACCCTATTGCCCTGGCTGGGATTTCCAGTAATATGTTAAATATGAGGCAAAAGTGGACATTCTTGTCTTTTTTTTTTTTTAAATACAGGAAAGAATTACTGTATTAGTCCGTTGAAGTATGTTTGCTGAGGGCTTTTTCATATTGGCCTTTGTTATCTGAAGGTAGATTTCTTCATATTCTTAGCTTTTTATTGTGAAAAGCTGTTGCACTTTGTCACATGCTTTTTCTGCATCAGTTTAAGAGGATCATGTGATTTGGTTTATTACATCTCATGTTGAGCTAACCTTATATCCCAGGGGTTAATTAGACTCCATTGGGGTGTATAATCTTTTTAATGTGGTATTGACTTTACTTGCTGGTATTTTGTTGCACCAGTTTTCATTAACTATAGTGGGCTATTTCTTGCAGTGTCCGTGGCTTTGCTTTCAGACTAATTATAGTCTTGTAGGTGTTAAATGTTCTATCCTCTTCAACTTTTGTAAAAGTTTTGAGTCAGGGCTGCGGATTTTAAATTCCTTACTCTGGCCCATGGCTTTTCTTTATTGGAAGATTTGTGGGGTTTTTTTGTTTTCTTAATGTATTCAAAAACTGGCTAGAGGCGCAGGGGTGAGAGGATTCACCAGAGCCATAGTGGGGAGCTGACCAGGAGATCCACTGAAACAGACTGAGGGGAGCAGCAGGCAGGTCAGGAGAATCTGCCACACCATATGGGTCACCTCTCTGGCTGGGGATCAAACTCAAGTTGCAGTGGCTTGATTGTGCTGACACTTTAACCATTGTGCCACCAGGGAGGCCCTTGGGAGGTTTTTGATTACCAATTCAATTCCCATATTATTAATAAATAGGTCCAATTTCTTGCATTCATTAATTTTATCTGTTTTGGTTTCCTGATCATTGTGTCCTTTCTCAGGCTAACTGTTCATTTTCTGACTCTTCATGGTGCAAACATAGGTGTTGATTTGGGAATTTAAGCAGTAAGGATTATAATTAAGTTCCTGGTTATTTTTTCTAATCTACCTTGCATTTGTTAAAAAAATTTAAATTTACATGTTGGGTTACATGTTGTGTAGTTCCCTGTCCTGTTGACTTGTAGTTTACTTTCATTGTGATCAGAAAATATACTTTGTGTAATCTTCACCATATAAAAGTACTAAAATTTGTGTGCGGCCTAGTGTGATCTATCCTGGAGAATATTCCACTCCATATGCATTTAAAAAACATGTAGAATTTAAGTTCAGTTGGAGGATAGTGTTTAAGATTTCTATTCTTGCTCTTCTGTCTGGCTCTATTCTGTCATTGAAAATGGGCTGTGAGTTTCACATTTTTGCCATCTAATGCTACCTTTAATTCTTTCGGTGTTTGTTTCATGTTTAGCTCTGTTTGGTATGTTTGTGATATTTTCTTGGTGACTTGCTCCTTTCTCTCCTTTCTAAGAGCGTATGTCCTTTGTCTCTTGTAATTGGTTTTTGCTTCAAGTATTATTGTCTGAGTACATGGGATAAAACTTCCATTGCCATTGTCATGAAAGTAAAACAGATGAAAGAGAATTGAGAAGACCTAGCCTTAAAACAAGAAAATGAAAGTGATCTCATTTACTTCCAGGGAGTGAAGGATTATATAAGTGAGGATCAGATGTTGAGTGGTATGTTCAGAGGCACATTGGTAAAGGAATGACCAATCCCTTGTTGGAAGAGACCGGGCAAAGCTTAAAAAAGTGTAGAAAGTGAGTAGATATCTGGGGTAAATCAGTTCCCTATTTTAATCATGGGCCTAGGCAGAGCTATGAATAATAGTTCTCAAATTAATACCAAGAAAATTACCTCCAGACCCTCAGTGAGAGACAAGAATCATTCCATCCTTTCTCGCTTTAATGTATAATCTGGCTTTTTACAGTACAAATACCTGAAATGTAAAAGTGATCCTCATGTTAAGATTGAAGGGAAAGACACTGATGACTGGCTATGTGTGGACTTTGGTAAGTAATTTTGGCACTAATACTGAAATATTTTCTGTTGCAAAAGGAAAAAGAGTATTTCCATGTAAAAATTTTGAATTTAAAATACTTTAATTCTGCATCTCAAATGGTCTTAGACATCTGCAAAATCTTCACCTAAACAAAGTATACTAGGTAATGCCCTCCTAGACAATTACTGTGTGGAGTATGTAGCCATGCAGGCCAGGAAGATGGTGAATAGGTGAAGTGTGAGAAGACAAATTTGGTTATTATTAATACAGTTTCAAAGTATTACCCCACAAAGCACTTAATACAAAAGAGTTAAGAACTGCTAGAGGCTTGAAATTTTAATTTAATTTAAAGCTGGCAAATCAACCAGCCAGTGACACAAGTCTAGTAAAAGAACACAGACTGTTCTGGGGTTAAATGAGGGAGTGTTTATTACTTAGTAGCAAAAGCAGTAATATTTTCTAACAGTTTTTCTGAACTCTAGTTTCTATAGGGCAGCACATGGCCAGGGTACACCAGCACACAAAGTTCTGTAAGGGAACCCTGAGAGAAAGTATACACATTATATTAATGAGTATGAAGCATCACTTCTATGGTTCTCCCACTGCATGGGGCTCACGATTTACATTGCTAACAAGCTTCCATGGAACCACATGAGACCCTCTGTACTAGTTCCTACAGGTATACCATGAGAGTAATAAATGTACTGAGTTCATCATAATAAAGCACATGAACTGTTTCTTCACTGTGATTCTTTATTTGTCCTTGATAGGCAGCATGGTGATTCATTTGATGCTTCCAGAAACAAGAGAAACCTATGAATTAGAGAAATTATGGACCCTACGTTCTTATGATGATCAGTTAGCTCAGATAACAACTGAGACATTACCTGAAGACTTCATCCTTGGAATGGAAGATGATACTGCATCCTTAACTCCAGCGGAGTTCAAATGTGAATAAAATAACATGAACTGCATTAGTGTTTTCAAATTTGGGTTGAGTTAATCAAAAAGTAGCTTGCTAGGATGCTATTAAAACAGACATTCATGCAGACACATGGAAAGTATGTAAGTGGAAAGTATGTAAGTGAACTAACTCTCATATCAGAATCAGTATTTCAAACTGAAATTTTAATGTTGTCTTTTTCTGAGGTACCAGCAGGATTTACTTGAGTTAACACTGCCTTCTGTGCTTATGTAAGTATAAAACACATAACCAACCCACTGGTCCTGTTAGTACCAGAATATTTACTATATAAAAAAAACAAGACATCAGTACTCTTCCAAATGACAGAACAAATAGGTAGAGAAGTTTTAAATCTCATGTATCTTAAGGTTATACAGGTGAGCCATGCTACTGTAGGGTTAGAGTAAAGAGAAATGTCAGAGAAAACTCTTCAAACTGTAATTCCAATTGCTATGCAACAGTTATCAATGTTCACAGTAACTTGGAGTAGAGAAAATTTAACATTAGATACTGATTATATTTAAGTTTATAGTGTGACCAAAACTAAAACAATAATACACACCAAGCTGTACCTAATGATGAAAAACTTTATTTTGCATCAAGGTATCTGGAAATGAAGGTACAGTTGGAACACATTACAGATGAGAAATGATCCAATGTGGTGAGTACAAAACTCAATTACAGAATTTATTAACCAGATACCTCTTATTACCAATGTTTAATTGAAAGTAAAACATGATTTGCCACACTAAAAGGCTAGAAGTGAAGGATGACAGAGTTTAAACCAGCAAATATAAATGAGTGCCTATCTGTATATATGTAGAAAACAAAACACCACACCAAATATTGGAGAAAATCAAACACTGAGGAAGAACTCTGGTCTTAAGCACGTCTAACCTGAAATCCAACCAGAAAGCCAGTTCATTATTTTTTAAACGATTTTTTTTTTCATACAGTAAATGAATTTTGTGACAAAAAGGGCACTTTTTGGCTAAACCTACAAAATAAACTGGTTTTCTGAAAATATTTCAAAATGTCTGATTTCAAAACTAGTCTGTGTAGAAATTCTTGAAATATGAATGAGACAAACATTTTAAAGGGTTATTATACCCCTTTAGGTCATGTCATGATTATTTTATGAACAAAAAGCAACACAGACAATTCAGAGAGCAGCGTGGCCTTGTAGACCACCCACACCCACATAATTGTACATACCAGGCTTTACTATCAAGTTAAGGAATAGGCAAATGAGCTCAGTATCAAAGGTTAAATGTTATCAAACTGTATCCCAAAAATTGTTTCCTTGTATTCTCTACCTTTTGACTTATCCTCAAATAACTGGTTGGAGAGAATACAGAAATTCTGTTCTATTTTATGTAGCATTTTTAGGTGGCCTTTCATTTTTCTTGATTTGCTTAAAAGTCTTCAAAATAGCTTAGTGAGGTTCATGACAGTGCCTGGCACATGGAATTACAGCTTTTTATTGCCTTTAAACACTGTCACACCTCTGACTGCCCCATTGGTCTTTACAAAGCAATTTTGGGGTCTGCACACTGCGTAGATCAACTGGTCTTAAGTGTACTGGCAAAACAAGCTAAAGCTTGCTTTTTGCCAATCTGTTTAAAGTCCACAGGGGCTGGCTGCATCCCTTCTTTGATGCACTCTCTTTAGGTAGTGATAGTCAAAAGCACAAAGCATTTATGTATTCAATAAGGTAGCCAAACAAGACTGAAGTCTCCTGAAGCCATTCAAACTAGCTGTTCCAAAACCTCCTGCAACCACTTTGCTCTGTTAGTACCATCAAACACTTACCCTATCATAAAGCAAAAAAAAAAAAAAATGGTATTGCTGCTCTCCAAATATAGGCACTGCTCCAATTACTGGGTTTCCAAACTAGTAACTGTCAAAGCCTCAAAAAACCTGAAATTAAATTTCTAGCTTTATTGTCAACCAGCCAGAAGTAAAATTGTTTTGTTAGTCGCCTGTTAGCTGATTAATTTGTTTTTTTAAAAAACAGTTGGACTTTTATCTTTATAAAGTATATAAAAATTTCAAAAAAAAAAAAAAACAAAAACAAACCACACTTTTGCTTTCATTGCATTACTGAATACCTGAGGTAGTTGAGTAAAAATGCACATTTAATACCCCTGCCAACACTACTTAGCACTTCCCTTAGGTTATTCGTTAGTGTTAGATAAAACTGAGAACAGTTTTCTATGCTAATAGTTTAAATTCTCTAATAATTTTATTCTGATCCAATTCTACCAACTGGACTTAGGAACAATCTCTATTTTTATTTGATGAATTTAATGAATGTGTCATTAAGTCAATTTCTGATATTATGGGTGAATATTTAGAAATATTAGACTATTATACTGAGAATACAGCAAAAGGGAAGTGCAGAGCTTCTCTCCCCACCCACCCACCCCCCCTTTTTTTTTTTTTAAAGCTGGGTGTCATACATTTCAGAGAGCATAAAATATACATTCTCACAGAGACAGGAGTTCGAAAGTTGCCTGGTCCTCAGAAACAACTGGCTAGGTAAGAAAGTTGTGCATGTGGATCTGGATAGGGGGTTAGCACCCATCTGTTGGTTAAGCAATCTGTCTTTGGTTTGGCATCTGCCTCTGTGGTGGGCTGTTTCCTGAGCCTTTACTTCCGTCTTGACTGAGGTGGGCCACTTTGCAGAGATTTCTGCTGCTGGTGCTGCTTTACCTGAGTCAGTATTTCCTGAATTTTTCTCTGGGCAACCTGCAATGAAGACAGCTTTGAAATTTCTACTCCATCAAAAGTTACTAGAAGTTATTTCACTAAATCAGTATGTATGTAAAGTCTCTGAAATTAACACTTAAATTCCCTTTTAATGGGGTTAGTACCAAATGACCTTAAATATTTACATGGGGTACCCATGGAAGAATTGATGTGAGAAAGCTGATTGATCACATTAGAGCCCACTTGCCTGGCAAGCATAGAAATGACCAGTTATTTTGACAACCACTTGGTCATTCTCATCAGGCGTCTGGTCACGAGGGACAACAACTTCTGCACTTGACAAATTCTGGAGCTCATTCACCTGAAAAAGATAAGTGAAAATCATTGTTTTAAAAGCTATCATTTGCTGAGCACTTACTATGTGCCAGGCACTGAACTATGGCTTTACACATTTCATTTAATACGCTAGTCGTTCTAACAGGTTATTTGTAATATTCCCATTTCAGTATAGTTAAAACTAAGGCTTAGCTAAAGAAAATGACTTTGCCAAAAGTTAACACAAGTGAGTGCAGAACCAGTTTCAATCCCTGAAAGTCAGATTCCAACTTGAATGCTTCTCAGTCATTTCAAAAGTAAACAGGTTTGAAAACACCACAGGAAGTATGTGTTAGAGAAACTATAGAGTGTAATGAAATTAAATTTCTTTTTATGTCATTAATTGTGCAATAAAAATAACAGAAATGGTAAATGCAACTTGTGAGGGACAATCCTCTCACTGAAGAGTCTGAGTAGCACAGCTTTCACTAATAACTGACACCAACTCTCAGGAGGAACAAAAGGCAGTCTTCTCCAAACCTTTGACAAGACGGTTCTGCTTTTTATAAATTAGCCAAAATTCAGGGACTTGGAACTCCTAAGTACCTTTCAATGCTTTCCCTTTCATACCACTGCACAGGTTTTGCTGAAGTACTTGCCGTTTTGCCTCCTTTTCCAATAACTCTGCCGGCAGCAAAGGATGGCACTCTGATATGAGCTTCAAGTTTCACCTCTTCTTTAGGACTAACAAAATTTTCTTCTTTAATTTTTCCATAAATTCTTCCCTGAGCCTGTAGATAATGGGGACATATCAGTGTCTTTCATGTAGGAAACAACAGGCACACTGACTGTAAATGTAGCTGAGATCAGCTCAACTAGCTCTTGGCAGTAACATCTACATATGATAAGCTGTTGACATAAAAGATTGAAGGTAAGCAACCCATCACAGATGAAGAAACTGAATTATTGATGAAAGAAACCATAATTCTGACCAAAAAAAAAAAAGGTCAAAGCAATTAATTAGTGGCCTAATTTAAAAAAATTTTTTCCATGGGCATTTTGCTCTCCAATTCTGAAAGGTAAAGACCACTCTTGCTGCAAGTCAGGAAGTAATTGCATTTTATTAACCAAGAGATATTGGAAGAGTTACAAAGCCATCTGTGGCAGGTTGACAAGTCAGGTTTGTGTTTAAATGGGCCAGTGATGAAACCTAGTTGATGATTTTCTGTTTAAACTTGTTCATCTCAGCCATGTGGTTTCTACTTTGAATAAGGCAACAAAATGAAATTAACTCACGCTTCTGATATTTGTAGGCATTAAATCTTGTCACCCATTGCATGCAACTATGTAACTAGGAGTTACATAAAAGAAACCTCCAATTTATAATCATTAATTTGCTTTGATGTACACTGAAGAAAAAAGAAGCCAGAATTGGTTTAATCTGATAAGCTGCCAGGACAGACAACAAAAACGAAAATAATACCCATCAGTTTGTTAGTTTGTTTTTTTTTTTGGGGGGGGGGAGGGTGGTGCTGGAAAAAAATAAAACTTATTTTTAGATTTTAAAAAGCACAGTCATTCTTGGTAACCTATATTCTATTCACTTTCAAAAGTCTCAGGCCACAGACATAGCTATTAACAACTGCCAGAGGATACTAGAGATATCATCGTAAAAATACAAACTCTTGAATTTATGGGGGTGGGGGGGAGGAACTATATTGCTCCTTAAGTCTAAATTCATTTGAAATTGATTACTTAAATGTACTTAAGTGTAAGTATTCTGTTTAAGAAAAGTAAATACAAGTGTTCAGAGATCTAGGGAAACAAAATTTGAATTTCCCAGCATGCAAACAGAAGAATCATTCACAGGATGATCCCATTTATAAACAGCTAAGGGCTCAGTTCTATTGCAAATAAGTGACAGAGGTTTCAAGATAGCAAGAATTTTCAACATTTCTAGGTAATTTGAACTGCCTTCACCACAAAGCTACTATGGGGAGTAAAATTTCACATACGAGCACCTAACCAAGTTTATCCATAGCTCAGCGTACTTCGTTTCTTTCCTCTTATAGTAGATGTAGAGGGAAAAGCTTAGGCCCATAAAAAGAGGTCAAATAAAGTTTAGTTTTACAGGAGAGCAGGTCAGACATTGTTGCTAACATGTATTTTAGAGGTTAAGGAAGCTAAGGCTTAGGGTTCAAGAGCTGCTAAGTAGCAGGACCAAGATACTGGGTTTTAGATTAATTACATCAAAATTTAGTAGTTGCTGTGCCTGTGACATTTATTGTGTTTTTCTGTAAGTTAGAAGCACTCCAAGCACTCTATATGGGGCTTCATCCTAAAATCTGCCAGAGCAGATTAAAATTTGTTAGACCTTGCAGGTATCTCATAGATGAGGAACTAGTCAGAGAACAGTTAAATAATTTGTTCAAGGTAACATAGCTGCTAAATGGCAGGGCTGGGATTTGAACAAAGCATGGCTGCACCACCTCTCAGGATACCGTGAACAGGCGTTCCAGCCCCAAAGATCCCAAACCCCAATAAACCTGAGCCATGTTTCATACCATGACAAGTGCCATCAGAATTCCTGCCATTTCTACCTCTAAAATTCAGGGGGTTAAAGTGAATTGTGAAGAGACTAAGGTGCATTTAATCCAAGAGTGAGAAGAAAAGGGTGCATTTTAATTCAATGTAAAGGCCTCTCTTTACAGGCAGAAAAGTTTGGGACCAAGTTTTCCAAGGTTTTTACTAACCAGGTAGGTTTGTAAGCTTTAGTTTTAAGGTTTTCTGTTCTTACTCTAACGAATTTCTACTTGAGTGTTAAATTTAAGCCACGTTATTGAATTCCTGAAAAGGCACAGTGCTCCAGTCATTCATTACCTCTACACACACCAGAACACATACCTTGAACTGAGCCTCTGGTGGCCCAGTGATAATCACCATCCTCACTTTAGCATCTGGTGCGTCAGCTGGAGCAATCTGTAAAGACCCATCAGCAGTTACACACTTTTAAGAGCCACTGGTAGAAATCATGCAAAGCAGCCTAACATTTATGTAAATACATGACTGACTGAAATGTGGACTATAAAAAGGAAGGAAGTTGAGGAGAGGCAGTGATCAATACAGTAGGCTCATTTCATAAATGAAGGCTTTTCTCATCCATTCTGTGTAGTTACATCATGCCTGAATAACAGTATAAAACTTCACATGTAATGTCAGCTAATCCTGCAGGGCTATTACCTCTACTTGGCAGATGGAGAAACTGAAAGCGGGAGAAGTTGCATTTACTTCACCCATGCTGGGGAGAGCCAGCCTGCCTCCCACAAACCATTAGTGCTCAAGGGGTGGTCATATGCTCCCCGGGCTTCCTATATGTATACAAAATACTGAGAGGCTCTGAATCTGTCTTGAGGCTACTGTCCCTTACCCTTACTTTTATAGAAAGGACACTGAAACCTTTTTTATATAATATAACCCCCTCTCGTGTCAGAACAGTAACGTGCCAGTGTTCTAAGAAAGATTAAGGAGGCACATCTCACACAAGGCATGAACACCCAATCATCATGCTTATGAAGCAGAAAAGAATACTATATACATATTTTTCAATTCATAAATCTGAGTATTAGGAGTAACATGAAATGAACCAAACTAGTTTGTAGAAGCAAAGTAAACTCATATTATCCTAAGTACATTAAATCATACAAAACTCCCAGACTGGGGAAATGGTGCAGAGACAAATGAAGGGAAGAGAAAGCAGTATTCCTCCAGAGTCCCCCCAAAAAAATCTTAGACCAGGCCTGGTAGTCAAAGCTGTAAGAATTACTCACAGGAAACTCATCTGGAAATAAGATACTTGGTTTATGTTTTATTTTTTGAAGTGCTTTTGTCAATACCATTAATAAAGGGTTAGAGAAAAACACACTTGTATACTGAGATTAGTATTGCTATAATTAAAGTTTGAAAAAAACACATGCCTTTGATTCACCAAATCTGCAAATCCTGCAGACCTCTAAAGAATAAAGTTGTTTATAACAATTTAGTTAAAATGGTTTAGCTAAAGTGAATTTAGTGAAGTTCATCACTTCACTGTGCAAAATAAGGAACAATCTAAATGTAATAAGTGAACATAGATAATTATGGTTTCCTGACACCAAACATGCCTGTACAGTGCACATATGTAGAAATTTATGCATGTGAATCAACCAAAGTTGAAAACATTTCTGAGATCATTTTAAAACTTACATGAAAACCAGAATAAGAATCCAATGTCTAAATATACAACTCTTGTTCATGAAATGTTCAGTGTAGCTTTTGTCAAACAAACCCACTAAATTCTTTGGACTTAATCAGGAAACCAGCAGGATAATGAAGGTATTTGACTCCTTGATCTTATAACGTGATTCTTCTTTACCCATTTGTTGGTCTGTTACTATTTTATCTTTTGCTGCAAGCATATATAAGAGTTACTTCTGTGTTTTGATTTTTTTAAAAAAAGATGTATTTATTCATGCATACAAGAGCTGGGTTGTAGGCCAGAGGTTGGGGCAAGGGGAGGGGAGAGTTGAGAGGATTCATCAGAGACAGAGTGGGGAGCAGAACAGGTGGTCACTTTTACAGCAAAATCCAGTCTTGGGCCCTCCTTAGTGGCACAACAGGTTAGAACGCAGCACTGCAAGCTAGCCATGGCCGCTTCAGTGAGAGTTCGAGCCCCTCCCTGGAGGTGATCCACATGAGGCAGCAAACCTCCTGTCTTGCCTTCTGCTCCCCACTCCATCTGTGGTGAATCCTCTCACTGCCTCTGCACCTCTGGTCTGTACCCCAGTTCTGTATGCACAAATAAATAAAATCTTTGGAAAAAAAAAAAATCTAGTCTTGGTAACTAATACAGTTATGTAACAACCAGAAGCTAAATTAAAGGCCCCAGCTTCCTTAAGACTTCATGCTGCTTCACTTTGCATTAAATCCCTCCAACTTCTAGCAACCGGTGATTTCTTCTCCAGCCTTCCACACCATGTGCCTTTTCAAGAATGCCATATAACCTTAAAATGTTTAGCTGACTGCATTTCCCTGCTGCCCCTTCAGGTCTGTCTGGTTTTGTGAAGCAGTTCTGAGCAGTGGAATGTAAGTAGAAAAAATCTTATAATGGCCAATAGGAGCCAATTTTTTTTAATCATCCTCTCCTACAGACTGGAGCACAGACTTGATTGTTAGAGTCCTAGAGACTATCACATGGACCCATGAAGGATCAAGGTCCTGCTTGGGGAAGATGAGATAGAAGGACTAAATCCTTTGCACAGAGCCATCACAGTGTTTCCCTTCAGAAGATTTTTTTTCTGTAGAGAGAATTTACCTCTTACGCTGCTGCTGTTGGAATTTTCTCTCACACACACACTTAAACCTAAATAGACTGCCGATTTCAATGCAAATTATAAAGTGGCAAGAAGACTCATGTTGCTGTGACTTTACTGTACATAGAAGTGTAAGGAGAGCCCCTGGTGGCTGAACATACCTTAATAGAAGCTCCTGCAAAGCGAGAAAGCTGTTTGATGTGCTGTCCCTGCTTGCCGATAATGGCGCCGACAGAGAGGGCTGGGATAAACAGGTGAACAGTCTCTGTTTCTGATTGCTGGTGGAAAAGAAGACATACATGCTTATTTGAGCAAACCCTGCTATTATCATCTTTGGCATAGTCATTCTCACATAGCAGTACTTTTAGGGTGGTTTTGGAGAAAACCACCATATAGTAAGTAGATCTGAGTTTTACCTTATTTGCTGAGAAGTTCTTATATATTAATATGAAAGCATTTATACTTAAAACTTCTTTTCTCTATGCAATTTTCTTGAACTTTAGGATCTCGCCAAGTAATGGGTTTGAAGACTACGTAAATGGTATGTGTAAGACATACTGAGGAGAGGGACAAAACTGCATTGAAACTTAATTCCCCCATCACCCTATCTGAGGTAGATTCTTGACAAGTAAATCAAATTCTAGGCTACCCATTGGAAACGACTGATTTCAAGATACCAAATTGAACCCATTTGGTTGTTAAACATGAAAAACTACTCTCAAAGGAAGAGACTTGCTAAGCTCATTATATATGACCACTGTCATTCAATACTTGTGTCCAAGCACAAACTAGGACTGGAGAATGAAAGTGCCATGAGACACTTTCTCATATAATCAGTCCTCCCATCACTGCCCTTCACACCTCATGCACAGACAAGCAAGGAACTATCTTGAAGGCTAACTCTTAGACATTTTGAGTTTTATCTCTAAAACTACCTCATTCCTGTTATTTTCCACCTCAAGACAGCTGTGCCTTTCCTGAGTCTCGAAAACAGCCATTCTTACAGAGCTGAAGGGCACACTCAGGAGAGCAAGGTCAGTTTCTAACCAGGTCAGTTTGTGTTTTATAATGGAGCCGATGAGCCAAGCTTCCTGAGCTGCAGAGGCAACACACACACCTTCCTGTAGTGCACCTCTAACAGTAATGCAAATGCACTTCTGAGAAGTTAATTCTAGGAAATTCTTTTAAATATTTTAAAGAGAATATTAGGTTCAAGGAACTGTAGAACAAACTTAGCAAAGGTACTGTGGAGATCTCTTATATAACCCAAGAAATATTTTAAGGTTAGCCACACTGAGCAAATGTGTGTTACGATTAACTTGTTTTATTTTGATTAGAAGATATTTTGCATTTAGAAATGTATAGATGAAAGAAAAAAATGTAGAGATGAATAACTTGCTAAGAAATATCACACAGTTTCTTGAGCCTCAATAAATTCCTATTACATAAAGTAACAGCTTTGGTCTAATCTCTTTTTTTAAAGATTTATTTACTTATGGACACAAGAGCTCCCTGGCCAGGGATCAAACTCATGCTGCAGTGGCTGCAGACAGCCTCAGTCTTTTGGGGTTCTTAATCTCTAATTTTTTACTTAAAGTTTTTTCTCAAAGTTTTAAAAGGTGCCCAACAAAAAATGCCAACCTGAGTTTTCTTTTTTCCAAGTATCTCAGGAGCTAAGACCTCTGTAGGATTTCATCATTTTAGGCAGTTCTTTTTAAACATATCAGTCAAAGAAAACAGAAACAATGGTTTCTGGATATACAAATACCATGCCACAAAATGTTGATCCATCCAATGACACCACCACTCTTACCACACAAAAATTACTAGTGGCATCAATGGCTCCATCTTATGGGTCCAGAGTAGAGACACAGAACAGAGCAAAGAGCCCCAATATAGAGGGAGCTAATAAAGATCAATGGCAGAAGCCCTTTTAGTGATGACTCAGCCATTCCATTTCTCAGCCTGGCAGTACCAGAATGTAGAAATGAAAAAAGGGTTGGTTCTTTAAATACCAGGAAATTTATTTTTCCTATTTGCCAATTAAATGGAAATGAGAAAAGGGAGATAATTTAAAAATGGAGGGGAGTGATGTGCCTATAAATCTATTAAGGTCAAAAGACTTACTCAGGAGTTATCAAAATCAATCAGAAAAACTTACTGTGACCAAGTAAGTCCACAATGAACTAATTAACCAAATAAAGTACCTTGCTCAAGCAGTTTTAATTCTTCTAACCCAAATGGTTAGGAAAAATGAGAAGAACCCAAGTTAAAAGGAGATGTGAGAAACTGGAAAGACAGGTAAAGATGTTTCACTAGGAAATATGAATTAGTTAATTTACAAAATAAAATGAACAAAGCATACCGACAAATAACCTGTTCTATCAATAACTTTACACCTTGGATTTCCTTCCATTGCATGTGTAAATCCCTATCTCTATTAATAGTGTTCCTTCAGTAGATACACATAAAGATTAATTATGGTGTATATTTATATTTTTGTTAGGTTACAAATACTTACTACATAAAACTGCTGTGTTAAAGATCCTAAACATTTTAAGTTGTTCATTATTATAAGACTGCTATGCAAAAAGTTTCCCATGAAGTTCCTATAGAATGGTGGAATTCAAATTAAGACTTTCACATAACATTTGATGAATGCTACCTTTCAGTTTTCGTAAGAGTATTGGGGAGTGGGTAAAAAGCATACCAGTAAAGTAAAACAGCGTACACAGCAGCCCTGTGTGGTGAGATCAGTTTGTGAATGTTCTCTGTGAGGTGTTGTACATTACCTCATTCACACCTCATAACTGATTCAGTTGATAAAGACTATTCCCATGTCAGAGATTAAGTCACTTGCTACCCCAAGTTGCACACTGGCTGCTGTCAGAGTCAGAACTTAAAAGTAGACTTCCCTGTTAGCTCTTAAGCCATTTTCACACACATACAAAACAAAGCATAAAAATAAGAATAAGATATACCTTGTTTCTATAGGAACTGCGGTACTTTGAAAGACAGAGAGGACAAGTAGTCTTTAAGAAAAAGCCTGACAGACCTCTTGCTCAAGGACATTCCCTGGCATACACTACTTTTGATCTATGAGTCCAAAAAAAAAAATTATTTATTGCTGGCAAAAGCTTAAATCTTTGACTATTCAACATACTACATGAGCATCAGAGATAGCCCATTTAAATTTAGGTTGAAATTTGAGTAAGGATGATTGAAGATTACTAGAACAGTGAATGGAAAATGTCTTATCTGTATACACCTGTCTAATGCACATTTAAGACATTTTTTTTGCAACTTAAACTTTCTATGTTTCTGCTGTGGGAAAAGAACTGCATCATAGACACCTTTACCTGATAGTTACTTTGTGGTATCTGAGAGTGCTTAAGAAACATTCAAAAAGTTTGGTTTCCACTTTTCACCTAATCATAACACTACAATCAAATCTTCAAACATAAATCTTGTCCCCTTGTGCAAAAATTTTATGTAATAGAAATAGTCAATCTGAGCATGAACTTTTACAATTAGTAACTTCCACATTTGCATGCAAATACAGTTACCTTATGGTCAATAAATGCATTACAAGGAAAATCATTTTAGATCAAACCATGCCTTTCATATTCATGGGAAGTAAAGGTATTTATAATTCTAGATACCATAACTATTTTCCTACAAATGAAAAGCATCTACAACCTACTCTTAGTTCTCTATAACCCCTGCCATATACCTAATTTTTAATTAAGAACCAACCTAATATTGAACTCTTGGGAAAAAATTTTTAAAGATTTATTTATTCATGCATGCAAGAGCTGGTGTGTAGTCCAGAGGCGAGGGAAATGGGCTGAACAGATTCACTGGATAGAGTAGGGAGCAGAACAGGTGGATTGACGGAAACACACTGCTGAGGGGAGCAGTGGGTGCAACAGCGGAGTGCCATGTGAGTTGGACAACAGCCAGCAGCTTCCTAGTATTGAGACTTAACCCCTCATGCCACCAGGAAGGCCTCTCTTGGAAATCTTGACAAAAGCCACCAGATTTTTCTGATTATTGGATCTTGTTTCTTTAGCTTATGTGTGGTCTATATGGCTTGGTATTTCTCTTATCACACTGCAGATCTTAATACACTTACCTGAATGAAATCTCTTGTGTGACTAGCATTCTTTAAACAACACCTGAGAAGAGGCTCTGTCTATCCAGTAAACTCCAGACTCTGAAGATTTGCAACAGTTTGGTCACAGCACTTCTGTTGCTGCTTGGTGAAAAACACCAAATAACATTTTCATTCTTTGGGCCTCCCAGGTGGCATAGGGTTTATTAAAGCATCAGCACTATAAAGCTATCACCAGCCACTGCAGCATGAGTTCAATCCCTGGCCAGGGAGATTGAACTCATGGCATAGCAGACCTCTCCTGTCTTGCCCGCTGCCCCCTCAGCAGTGTATTTCAGTCAATGTGCTGTTTTGCTCCCCACTCTCTCTGATGAATCCTCTCACTCCCTGCAATTCTGGCCTACACCACAGTGTAGTGTATATATAAATCAATCTTGAAAATAAATTTTTCATTCAGTATTTCCACATGATAAGAACTTGGAGGCACCTTACAACCCTCTAGTATGTTAGGCAATCTCCACATGCTATTTACTCCAAAGGGACATTTCCCTGTTTTATTAACTGGATAAATCAACTGAGTCTGTACTGACAGTGACCATAAACTGTGCTCAATGTTAGTACTGATTTGTCATTCTGACCCTTATTATTAAAATTGATGTTAATTTAACATTTTTTTAAATTAAAAATAGCATCTAAAGTTTTACCTTATTAAGGATCATCAGTATCATGTTCTGGAAAATGTATGCTTTTTGGTCTGGTGGTGATAACTTAGTGAAGGGTTAGACTAAATCTAATGCATAACTGCTCAGATCTACCCCATTCTGTTTGTTATGACTGTATGTATGATTTGTTTCCTGGGCCTTGTTCAATTAACATTTCATGCCACTTGCAAAATATACATCATCTAGAGCAATAAGGCAGGTGAAGAAATAAAGACACAGGGACTTAACCAGAAAAGATAAAGCCAAAAATTTATCTTGAATCTTCCTAACATCTAAGAATGGTTGCTTGACTTACCATGTCTATATTTATTTGCTCACTAAAAACTACTTTTTGGGCACTGGTCCCAGAGAGAAACTTGTGAATGTCTTTAGGATGCTGATGTAACAGGCATCACCTTAGAGCCAAAGTCCTGGAGCTTCACAAGCATGGCCTGAGAGTTTT